TTCCCCATGATGAGACTGGTAATCAACTCCATGGTGGAATCTACTGTGAGCAGCTGAGTAGCTGCCTTAGGTATGTGGTCTGCTTCCTGTATATAAGGAGAAGCCTCAGGGAATGGTCTCTAGGTTATGGCATGCTTGAACTCTGCATGTAGCCGTGTCATTGTTCAGCAGCCTGCCATGCTCTGCCAGTCTTGGGAACTTTAATGGACTTGAATTAATGGCCTGCTGTGTAGGTTGGTAACATCAGGACTGTGCCTTTTTATTTGTTGACTTTGGTCTTGTCAGTCTCAGCAGCCAGTAGCTGTCTGAGTGAAGAAAAGCCTCTAGCTCCAGTAGGTCAGGAATAGGAGGCGGAGCTGAAGCCCAAGGTTGAGGGGCTTTCACTCAGCCCCTAGAGCCTGGCACGTTGAACTTGGACTTAAAGCCTCCAAACTATAAGAGAATAAACTCCTGTTTGTTCAAGCATCTCATTTGTGGTATATTCCTGTCAGAGTGGCACTAGGTAACCAGAACAGCACCCTACTAAGTTGATTACATGACCCACTGGTGAACCTTCAGTCCCATGCTCAGTGCACAGATGAGTGCACTCATCCCAGAACTGAGAGGGTCCCCATGAGCACAGCCCTCCTCTCACCCACCCAGCCACCACCTCCCCACTGGATCAGTCTTGGAGAAATGAACTGAGCATTCACTTACAATTCACTGATGGGATAAAGAGTGCAAAACTGAGTTTTGGGAATCAATTTTTTGTTGTTGTTGTTTTGTTTACTTCTTGTCAATGGTGTCTTAAATCACTACACCAAAAGTTCCATGCTAGCAGCTGAATAGCTGCTTGAAAACCTAATGAATCTCAAAGAGGCTTTCTTTCATGCCTCCATCCCATACCCATCACCTTGAGGCTATTTGGATTCACAACAACTTCCCCACTCCACTCACCCATAACCAGATTACCAAAAAGAAAAAAAAAAAAAAAAAACTTACTGCCCCCTTGAGTCGATTCTGACTCACAGCAACCCCAACTGGGTTTCAAGGTTATAAATCTTTACTGATTGCC